AGCGAATGTGGACGGAGGACACGCACCAGTACAAAAGGGGGGTGTGGGCCCGCTGCCACCCGGGGAGCCCCGGCCGAGTCCTGGGCACTGGCGCGCCCTGCGCAGACCCCCGGGAAACAGGCCTGGGATTTCTGTTTCGAGGAGAGTGGGGGAAGGGGAGCCAGCAGGGATTCCAGAGCTACTGCCTAGACCAGCTTTTGGCCACCGAGAGCGATCTTTGCCACAGATCAAGAATTCTTCTGTGACCCAGCCAGGCTAGGAGGCGGCCCCCAAAGGCAGCACCGTGCTTCCTGGTGAAGGGCCATATTCATGCTTTAGTCCAGTGTCCGTTAGGTCATTCTCCCAGGCTGGGGTGCGGAGCTTAAGGCTGAAGCCTGTGGCTTTGAATTGCGGGAGGCACTGGGTGAGCGCAGAGCCTCACATAGTTTTTCTCTCCTTCCCCAGGTAAGGCTGACCTCTCTGCAGTTAGAGGTCTGAGCTCTACCATGGGGATAGAGGATGTCTTTATTGCTACAGTTTTCTCTGACATCCGGGGGCTACCAGAGTGTGGGCCGAAGCAGGCACTGCAGCAGAAGTATCCCCAGAAGGAGCTGGAAAAAGCCTCATCCCCAGCACTGCAGTCTCCAGGGTAGAGCCTGGCCTTTCCTGTGTCCTCAAACCAACCCCAAACTCCAATGCTCAGGTCTCCCTTACGGGCAGGAGAGGAGCTTACCGCGGAATGAAGTCATCCCGGGGTTCAGCCAGTGGGGGCAGGGGTGAGTCATGTCGGTAGTCCCCCATCCCCCCCAGGAGAGAGCTGGTTGTAAAGGAATTTGGGAGGTTGTGCCTGGACAGAGCCTGTGAGCAGACATGAAAGGTCCCTGGGGAGTCTCAGTGCTACCCCACAACTGTGTAGGAGGCTTTCTGGAACCTGGGCTCCCCTGCTGTGGTATAGCAGTCCTTGGCCAGGTTTGGGCAGGGCCAGGCAAGGGATATAGAGATGACAATCTCTTCTTCCCTCCCCTCCCCTTACCCCAGCAATCCGTAACACCCCTAAGAGATGCTGAGCCAGGGATACCCCTTCCTGCCCCTGCAGCATACTGCGGGTGTTCCTTGGATTGAGAAGCACTTTCCTTCCCACAGTGTCCCAGTTGCCATGGCGTGAGTGTGGGTGACAGGGGCTGGTAGGCAGAATGTGGGCAGTCTGGCATTAGTCTGTGCTAGGAGAGGCACCTTGCTCCCCTCCTTTTCTGAAGAAAGGCTGTTCCCACTTGCCCTCCAGGCGTAGGGGAGAAGGGGAGAGGCTGAAGTACCTTCCTCAAAGCTTTAGCCTTTTGGTTTTTGAGGTCTTTCACACCTTGGTGCTAAGAGGAACCTACACTGGCCTGGGGGTTCACAAGACCTGCCCCCCCCCCCAGCTCTGGTCCACTAGTGGTTTACAGTGTCACCTCAGGCATGTCCTGCCACCATTTGAAGCCCTCTCTTGCTTCATATGTCAAGTAGGGAGCTTGGATGTGCTAATCACAGGGAAAGGCAATGGGAATTTTGGAATCAATCAGGTACAGTAGGGAGATGGAAGAATATTTTCTCTAAGTCCTCTTGACACTAGGGGAGATGCCATGTGAGAACCCCAACGAGTGTCAGCATGTCTTCCTTCTGGAAGTTTCCAGGGCAATAAAGACAGAAGGATCCTTGAAATGTTATTTAGAAACTCAAGACATATAGAATAGAATGGTGCTAGCAGTTCCTAGAGGGCGGCTTTCTTCTTCCTTGGGATCCTAAGGGAGGAACGGGTTAGTTCCTGCTGTGACCGTGCTTTTCCTCCCTCGGCAGACGAAGAACTGATGCTGGAAAGGCGCTTCCGGGGCACCATGGCTATGGGCCCAGCCCAGCCCAGGCTCCTTTCTGGACCCTCCCACGAGTCCTCCCAGCCCAACAGGGGGCTGAAGCACCAGGGCAAGTCAGTAGCTCAGTCAGGAGGCCAACCCCCACGCCAGGTCCATCGTTGTGCCCACTGTCGGAAACGGTTCCCGGGCTGGGTGGCCCTGTGGCTTTCCCCCCGGCAGGGCCCGGCCCCGCCTGCCACTGTCCTGCCAGGAGTGCAACCAGCGCTTTCGCCACGCCCCCTTCTTAGCTCTGCACCTTCAGGTTCATGCCTCTGCCACCCCCGATGTGGGTTTCACCTGCCACCTCTGTGGGCATAACTTCCAAGGCTGGGTAGCCCTAGTACTGCACCTGCAGGCTCACTCAGCTGCAAAGCGGCCCATCATTTGTCCCGAATGCGACAGACGCTTCTGGCGACAAAAGCAGCTTCGAGCTCACTTGCGGAGGTGCCATCCCCCTGCTCCTGAGGCCAGGCCCTTCATATGTGGCAACTGTGGCAGGAGCTTTGCCCAGTGGGATCAGCTAGTTGTTCACAAGCGCGTGCACGTTGCCGAGGCCCTGGAGGAGGCAGCAACCAAGGCCCTGGGGCCCCGGCCTCGGGGCCGTCCTGCAGTGACTGCCCCCCGGCCAGGTGGAGATGCTGTTGACCGGCCCTTCCAGTGTGCCTGCTGCGGCAAGCGCTTCCGGCACAAGCCCAACCTTATTGCCCACCGCCGCGTGCACACGGGCGAGCGACCACACCAGTGCCCAGAGTGCGGGAAGCGCTTCACCAACAAACCCTACCTAACTTCCCACCGGCGCATTCACACCGGAGAGAAGCCCTACCCGTGCACCGAGTGTGGCCGCCGCTTCCGCCACAAACCCAACCTGTTGTCACACAGCAAAATCCACAAGCGCTCGGAGGTCTCAGCGCAGGCAGCCTCCGGCACCGGGAGCCCCCAGACGGCGACGGAGCCCGTGGCGCAGCCTGCACTAGGGGCCTCCCTGGGGTCCCCGCGCACCCCGGCCGAGGCATCTGTGCCCCTGCACCGCTGTGCCGACTGCGGCCGCAGCTTCCGGCTGGAGCGCTTCCTGAGGCTGCACCAGCGGCAGCACACGGGCGAGCGGCCCTTCGCCTGCCCCGAGTGCGGCAAGAACTTCGGCAAGAAGACGCACCTGGTGGCTCACTCGCGCGTGCACTCGGGCGAGCGGCCTTTTGCCTGCGAGGAGTGTGGGCGCTGCTTTTCCCAGGGCAGCCACCTGGCAGCGCACCGGCGCGACCACGCGCCAGAGAGGCCCTTCGTGTGCCCCGACTGTGGCAAGGCGTTCCGCCACAAGCCCTACCTGGCCGCACACCGGCGCATCCACACTGGCGAGAAGCCCTACGTGTGTCCAGACTGTGGCAAAGCCTTCAGTCAGAAGTCCAACCTCGTGTCGCACCGGCGCATCCACACGGGTGAGCGGCCCTATGCCTGCCCCGACTGTGACCGCAGCTTCAGCCAGAAGTCCAACCTTATCACACATCGGAAGAGTCACATCCGGGACGGCGCCTTCTGCTGTGCCATCTGTGGTCAGACCTTTGACGACGAGGATCGACTCTTGATGCACCAGAAGAAGCACGATGCCTAAGAGGGGCGGTAGGCCAAGGAGAACAGGCCTGGTTGTCCTTGGCAACAGTGTGGCAGTGGGCCCGGGTGGGGTGCCTACGTTGATGCTGCTGGAGGGACAGGTGGGGATCCCAGAGGCACAGGGGCGGTGGAGTGAGTGATCTGGGCTCTGTGTAGGAATGGGGTTTCCCCAAGGCGGGGGTCAGGGAGCTGATTTTAGAATGCAGGGACCTGGCTTTGAGCTAGCCGGTCCCCAGCTGGGTGTTCTAAGGGTCAACTCAGACTGCCCTGTACCCTGGAAAAGTAGCAATAGAAGCTCCATCTATCCTTTGAGTCCTCGGCTAGAGGAGCGACCAGTGGGAAGGGAGCCACTCCATCCTCTGGTGTTAACGCCTTAATGTCCCAGTCTTTACTATGAGTTACTTCAGGTCATTTTTTTGGAAGTAGGTGTGGTATAGTCATTAGTAAATGAATCCTGGGGCAGGGGAAGTGCCAGCTGGATACACCTTGGTCAGCCTGCTGGCATTGTTAGGCAGCAGGACAAGTGAAACTGAGCTGTATCTTCTTTTTTTTTTTCCCCCAGTACCCTTCTGCAGTGCCTCCTGCATAGGTACCCAGATGTGTAGAGGCCCATCTACGGTTAGCAATTCCATTTACTTTTTGCAGGTTATCTTTCCAGGACATTTACCTACTCCTTCACCTGCCTGGCTTTATTTGCTCTCTCTCCCTGAGTATAGGGCTTCCCTGGTGGTTTTGTTTAAACCCCTAACTCTCCTCAACTCTCTCCAGCACTTCAGGAGTTCTGGGAAAGACTAGCCCACAGATGCTGAGGGTTTGACTGTAGGAAAGGTCCTGGGTAGATTTCCTTTTTAAAGTTTCCAGGGTGTGGATGCCAGCCTCCACCCATGCACCTGGGTGCTGGGGCACTCTTACCCCCAGAGGTACGGGTTCTATTGTAGGGTGATTCTAATTGTTAGAAATCCTTACTTAAAATGATTGGATTCTGCTTTCCTATGATTTCTGCCTACTGGGTCTTGTTTTGTTCTCTGGATCGAAACAGAACAACCATTTACCCTCCTTTTCAAACTAGAGAATAAACATTTGGTTTTAGAACTAGTGGTTGGCCTTGTTCCTTTTTGTGGGAGCTGTAGTTATGGGGGAAGGAACATGATTCTGTTTCCTGAAAAGGAGTCAGGCTGGGGGCTTTGACAGCAGCTGAAGTACGTCTATTCTTTCCTCCCAGTCCTTGCTGGAGGCAGAGCTAGACACACCTGAGCCTGAGTAAATTCAGGTGGTGGGCAAAAGTGCCAGAGAACAAGGATGCTTATTTTGGAATCAAGGCCTTGGAATGTTGGACCCAAGTGTAGGGAAAAAGGGCCAGCCAAAGAAACACACTTTGGCCCTGCAACCAGAACCAAAGAAATGCACCCTGACTCTGGAATCAGAGCCAGTGAAAGAAATATACCCTGCCCCTAAAATTAGAGCCAAAAGACTAAAAGGACTGGTGAAGGAAACACACTTTGGCTTTGAAACCAGAGCCAAATCTGACCCTAAATCTTCGCAGAAAACCAACCAATCCCTGAGCAGGAGATCTAGCCATTCTGAGCTCAGGGATTGAAAGCTGACCAGTCCCCACCCTGGAAATCTCCTTGGAAAAACTTTGCCCCCTAAGAATCCCTATATAAACCCTGTGCCTGTTCAGATTCAGGCTGTCAGGCTGCCGGGCTGCCCTCTGCTGGGGTCCCCACAGCAGGCAGCCACTCTCCTGGATTCCTCTCTCCTCCTCTC